ACCTCGGTTCTCGAACGCCTCGGATTTTGACCAAATCGGTATTCGACCAGGAGATTCGAGAAACTTTTGTCTTGGAATCCGAACAAATATTTGGAACTCGAACTTCCGAGATGAGCCGAGTTGAGCCGAATGGCGTTCATTCGGCCCAGCGCGCCTTGCTCGCGTCATCAGCGTGAGTGCAGAGAGAGAGTCACGCTTTGTGGAGAGAGTCACGCTTTACACTGAATTTAACCCTTAGACATACTGTACACTTTTATTTCTTGTTGAGACTTATGTTTTTCTACATATTATATACAAATTAGGCCAGTAAATAGGCATTTTCTGGGGCTTGGAACGAATTAATCCAGTTTCCATTATTTCCTATTGGGTTTCATTGCTTCGGTTCTCGAACAATTTGGTTCTCGACCGTCCTCCTGGAACGAATTATGTTCGAGAACCGAGGTATCACTGTATATGCCTGAAAAAGAACAAGTCTATGTATGGAGTGGAAAGATATAGAGGATAAGAAAGAGTAAGAAAATGGAAGAGGGGGAGATTTGGACTAAAGTTATATTACCATGTACCCATTTTATTTGTTTCCCGAGAAATATGGATTTCTCCGCCCTGCGGTCACAGTGACCATTTGTCTCTCAGGTTCTAACGTGACTTCTCAGTTTCCTATGACTCAAACCCTTTGGCCTGTCAAAGAACACCCCAAACCTTGTTTTTCTACCTTTGGCTCAGAAATCCTAAATTGGGAAGCTAGCCAAAGAAAATAGCAAGGCCCTGAACACAGAGCAGGGCAGAGGGGTCAGCTCTAGAAACCCATGCACAGAGTTACTGACCTGGCATTATCTGTAATAGTCAAAACCACAACTTAAATGTCCCACAGCAGGGCAGGCAGTGCACATCACGCCACGTCCCAAAGATGAAACCATATGCACCCATTAGAAGAATTTAATGACCTGGGAAAATGTGTGTATCATACATTAAGTGAAAAGAAGCAGGTCATAAACGGGCAGGTAGGTTATAAAGTGATCGCTAATATGTAAACTGGACAGAAAAACATTTTAAAACTGGAGAAAGAATAAACCCACACCAGAATGATTTGAGGGGTGCTCTTTTTGTGGTGGGACGATGGGTGTCTTCCTCTTTTTTTTTTTTTTTAATGTATCCAGGTGTTCTGCAATGAACATATCTGACTTTTATAATCAGAGCAGGGGGAAATCCCCCAGTTCTCTCTTTCTACTGCTCTTTCTTGGGGAATTCACTCTCCACCTGTTTTGTTCAGTTAACCCACCTCCACCTCCAACTCCTCATCCTGAGCTGCAACCCCAGCCTACAAGGACAAGCACCTTGCCAGGTGTTCCCTCTGGCCACTTCCCGGAAGACTTCCTGATCACCGGAAGGAAAAAAGCCTGGCTCATCCCCACAGTGCCTCCACATCGCTCTCTGCTTGCCTTGTCCCAGGAAATCTCCAGCCTCTTGGCTGGTGCTTGACTCCAAGAGACCATTTCCTGATGCAGCTGGTACAGTTGGGTGTGTGTGCTGCACCTGGCTGCTGAGTCTAAACCCTCAGAAGGAAGTTGGCATTGAGGCCACAGGTCTCAAGACTTTTGAATGATGTGGAAAGTTGCGATGACTTTTCTGTCTGCATGTCCCGATTTGCCATGGGAAAGACTTCTCATTTAAAAACCACCCAAACAGTCTTAAAACAGCTTAAGAAGTGATCAAAGGTGTTTGTGTTTAACCTGGACCAGCAACCTTCTTAATGGAGTCAGCCCGACGCTCGGTGCTTTGGGTTGGGAGGAAATGAACGTGAACCAATAACGCTGAGGTAGCTCGCATGCACTTAGATTTTTCGTGAGCTGATTTGTCCAAGCATTGAGATCCAGCTTATTCCTGAATTGGAATCAACTTAGAGAAACCCTTGAAGGAAAAAGGGAGCGTGTCGGCCAACATTCGAGAGCTGACCTTGCACCTGCCACTTACAGCTTAGAGCACTTTGAAATGCCACGGCTTTACCAAAGCAATAAACACAGCCGGAGTGATTTTTCCTGCAGAACTTCCTGGTCACATATTCCACCCACATGAAGCATAACAAGGGAGGCTCGAGAATAGGATGCACTGTCCTGTGCAGCCTACAAGAAAGGTGCATGCGTCTCAACACCTGTGGCATTTTGAGCTAATTACACTGGCCTGGGTAAGACATGAGACGGAATTAAGGACCAGATAAATGAGATAGCATGGCATCGACCTTTGGTGTTCTTGAAACGGAGAAAAAAATATCTGTTGTGCCAAGCTTCTTCATTAGACTGGCATTTCACCTCTCATCTTAAACGAGGTTAACAAACCACGAACATATTTTTCTTCGCTGCAGAACTGCACCCTTTTTCGTAATTAGGTCCGGGTACTGTTTGGCAACTGGAATCGGATAGAATGGAGGTGGGGTAGCATTTTTTCATTCCACCCTCTTCTCAAATATTTAAAGTAGAACAATGAGCAGGTGAGTGGCTGTCACATTGGTCACAACTCTTCCATTCCTGCCGCCTGATTGCGAACCTCAGCCACACTTTTCTTGGGCCACCACAGTTGACGTTTCCTCCTGATGCGCCCTGTCAAGGCTGGGGGGGCTGTGGCCGCTCAGGGGGAGTCTGAGGAAGAGTGGATGGCCTGTCGTTGTTGGGGTTTGGGCTGTCTAATGGGATGTGTAAGCTGAGGGTGAAGTGGAGATTCTGGGAGGACGGAAGACGTTTTGAGTGACCAACGGGGGAAGAAGTAGACTAGAGATCGGGGATGGCAGGCGAGAGGAGCCTGCGTGGGAATTGTGTGCCGTCACTGAGTCCCACGCAGCTGCCTTCCTCATCTTCCCAGGAGATCCTTAGTAACATACCCATTTCTTGGTACATTTTAGAGTTGAAGCTGTTGTTGAGGGAATTCATTCATTCAGCAAATACTTGTTGAGAACCCGAACCTGCCTGGCAGGGCTCTAGATGCTGAGGATAAAGTCGTGAATAAAACATACCCAGCGACGGGGAAAATTGGATGAATCTCCAAGGAATCCTGCCGTGTGAAAAGAGCCAATCCCCAAAGGTCAATCCTGTGTGATTCCATTTGCAGAACATTTTTGAAATAACATTTTTAGAAAGGTGGTTGCCAGGGTCAAGGGGTGGGAGGTGGTGGTGGGAGAGAGGTAGGTGTAGTGATAAAAAAGCAACAAAAGACATCCTTGTTTCAACGTACTACTTAGTATCTTGTGATAAAATTGTATAGAACACACACACACACGCACACACACATAAAACTGGGAAAATTCGAATAATATCTGTGAATTGAGTCAATGTCAATATTCTGTTTGTGATATTGTACTGAAATGTTACCATTGGGGAAAACTGTAATGTTCTTGTGGGATCACTTGTTATCGTTTTTCAAAACTGCACATGAATCTATAATTATTCTAACAAAAATGTAAATTAAAAAAAATTTCCCTGACCAGATGGTGCCTACGTTGGAGCAAAAGCTAAGTATGTCTGCAGGGCAAAAGCCAAGACCATCTGCCCCCTCTGGGGTATTCATGTGCTGTCATGAGAAATTCCTTCCCACCCTCCAGACGTCATTGAGTCCCCACAGGTGACTGAAGGACATCCAGACTCGGGAGGAGGCAGGTGCCAGATTGAAGGTGGCACCGCAGCCCTCCCTGACCCTCTGACCCAGGAACCTTCTCGAGACCGGGCACCAGGCACCCTCTAGAGCAGCGGTTCTCAACCTTCCTGATGCCGCGACCCTTTAATACAGCTCCTCATGTTGTGGGACCCCCAACCATAAAATTATTGTTGTTGCGACTTCATAACTGTAATTTTGCTACTGTTATGAATTGCCATCGGAAATATGTGTTTTCTGATGGTCTTAGGCGACCCCTGTGAAAGGGGCCGTGGCCCATAGGTTGAGAACCGCTGCTCTAGACTATAAAGACGAGACTCAGATGCCCATAGAGCTCCCAGGATTCACATGGGACCCCTGCTTGGCTCGCTCATAGTTTTCTCCGTCCCCACCACCAAGCCCACCCACCTCTTCCCCAAATGCCTGGTCTATCCTGACAGCACATGCATCTTGGGGAACCTCCTTCCCTGCACGCACGGGCGTGGCTTGCTGCCCTGGCTCTCAGCATGAAGCAAGAGCTCCTCCTGCCAGCCCTGGCCTGGGGCTCAATCCTGGATTCTGGCCCTTTGGCCATGGCCGGTAGGTCAGTGCCCCGACCCTTAACCCCCTCTTGTAAAAGGTGGATTCCCACACCCATCCATTGAACCCTTGGTGGTACAATGAGCCATCAAGCTTGCTACCAACCACCTAGCTCAGCCACTCTTATTTTATTGCCTTAGAAGAACTTCAGAGGAAAGAAGCCATGTAAAAATAAAATAAGGACGGAACAGACTTTAAAGTTTTTATTATTTTATATCATGTCATGCCTTGCACGAAATGACACAAAGCAACATGCCTTCCTGGCCACATGATTTACTAACAGGGCATGTGAGAAAGCTGGATCGCCCAGGCGTACAATCTAGTCCACCAGAAAGAACCGAGAGAGAGAGAGAGAGAGAGAGAGAGAGAGAGAGAGAGAGAGAAGGGGTGGGGGGAGGGGGAGGAGGAAGGGGTGGTTGCTCATTCTAACAACGATGAATATGTGACAACATAATTTCTGATTTATATGTGACAACATAATTTCTGATTTATGGTCATGGTCTTTATAGGAAAGGGGCTTTCTTTGAAGCGCTAGAGCTGATCAATAAAAGTTGATCAACTCTCCAACAAGGTTTTTACGGCCAAAATAAAACGAAAGAAACACACCGATAAATCTCCATACCTTTGTTCAAAGCGAATACTGAAAGAATAAACACCAAATGAAACGAAGGCCCTCCCCTCCGCCGGAGAGGGACCACACCTGTGTCCTGTGGGCGCCCGCCCGAGGGCTGGCTTCAAGCCGGGCAGGTCTGCGGCCCTGTCCTGGGCAGCGGCCGGCTTCCTCAGTCTACATCCGGGACGAATAACCCGTGGAGATCCGGGTGCACGTCCGCATCAATGTACGCGCGAGCCAGTTCTGTGAAACTCCTGGCGTCCAGAATGAGCAGAAAAGGAGGCTTTTGGGGCTCGGACGAGATAATGACTGATAAGATAATTCCTTGGGGGGGGGGGGACAAAAAAAAAGAGACACTTTGTAAAAGTGCAGCCTTGAATCTCCTCCAGCTGGAAGAGTACCTTTCTCAGCTGTCTCCCTGTCCTCTTTGAATGTCAGGGTCTATCAGAACAAAGAGGAAGTGAATTTGGTTTTCTGTGTGCGAAGACAAAGGCCAGCGAACCGGGAATCAGGGAACCTAACTCCAGCCCTGGCTGGGCCAGTCCCTTTACTGCTCTCGACCTCAGTCTCTTCATTTGGAGAGTGGGGATAATGTCCCTACCCTCGCAGGCTTTCAGAGGATCTTTTGCACGGTGAATTATCAAAGCACTTTGTAAATCCCTGCACGCGCTGAAGAATGGCTATTGCCCTACTATTTAGAAGCTGATGATAGAGAATCCGTTTCGGTGCTGCATCTAAGCTAATATACGTCAGGTGGCTAAGCCCAGACTGGCTACACTTAACTGGCATTTGAATGAGCGGTTCACCTCCTGTGAAGCAGCAGGCAGGCTGCCTCTGTACAATGGAAACGTTCTGAGCGCTCCCTCTCAAGGGATGAAGGGTTAAACGAAATAATGCCCGTCACCTTCCAGCAACCATGCATGCTTCTTCCCCAGCGCTCCCTGGCTTCAGGGTGGTTGAGCATAATGAAGTCAGATTGGTTTGGACTCAAACCCTATCTCTATAAGCACTGAGCATGCGACCGTGGGCAAGTTACTTCATTCTTTGAACCTCTCTCTCCTTTGGTGAAAGGAAGACAGTGCTACTCCCTGCCAATGGAGGGAAGGTGCAGGACGTACTCTGGCAGCCCAGTGGAAGACTGGCCTCGGCAGGAGGTGGTGCCAACAACTCCCCACCTCCGAGATGACCGGGACTCGGGCCCCCGCCTGGCACCGTGCCGTGCACCATCAGTAGGCAGAAAACCGCAGCTGGCAGGCTCCGTGGGGCAGCCCCACCCGTGGTTCTTGTCACCCTCCTTAGCACCCTTTTGGGTGTAGGCAGGGCATTTCTGGGTCAAAGGCAGAATGGGGGAAGGAAAGGACCATTTGTCATGTGGAAACCCAGAAAAACAAGGTGAGCCTCGGACGCACATTTCTAGGTGCGCCAAAAAATAGCTACGTGTTTAGATAACGAAGAACTCTGACCCAGCCATGAAAAGGAATTTTAAAACCAAGAGCCTACACTCTGAGAAAGGGTCGTGCTGCTCCGTGGAAAGGAAGCGGCCTTTGTGCAGTGAGCGACGGAGTCCCCTTGCAGGGGCGGAGGACCTTCTTTTCTGCCAAGGGCCATTTGGATGTTTACAACATCATTCACAGGCCACACAAAATTATCAACTTAAAAATTAGCCTGCTTGAGGAAGACAAATATCACATGATCTCACTTATTTGTGGAATATAATGAACTAAACAAACTGCTGAACAAAATTAACCCAGAGACATGGAGGTGGGGTACAGGCTGACAAGCCTCAGGGGTGGGGGGGTTGTGGGGGAAGAGATAAACCACAGAACTTACATGCATGTATGTATGACCAATGAACATAGACAACAAAGCTGGGGATGGGGCGGGAGGGGAGGGGAGGAGGGTGTCAATGGGGGAAAAAAATGAGAAACATCTGTAACAAAAACAAATTAATAAATAAAATTTTTTTAAAAAAGTAGCCTGCTCTATTTGGTCAGGCTAATTTGATGAGGTGTGTGTGTGATGTTAGCTGGTATTGATTTCTCAGGCCTCATTCAGCCCGCAGGCCAGACGTTCCCCACCCCTGCAAAGGGAGATCTGTTTTTGCTGCTAGGACATGACTTCTGCCTGGGGCCAGCCCGATAACCTGTCCTCACAAAGTCACTTAGATGGGAGCTTTAAGCCACACAGTGTCAGCTGGACCTCCAGAGGAGCTGAAGACTAAAGGTCGACCACCGCTAACTGACTAAGCCCCTGCACAGGCTCTGACACCAAGACTTGGAGGAGTTTCCCTTGTTGGCGATACTCCATGGACACTGTTGAGAGAAGGGGGTGTCCGTGACTTCCCTGGGGAAGGACAATGGGAAGCTCCAAGCATGGACCTCTCCGGGATGTCACCCTCCTCTCTTTCAATCTGCACCTTTTCCCTGAGATAAACCGCGACCATGAGTGTAACAGTTTCCAGTGTGTTCTGTGAGTCCCGCTATGGGAACCGAGGGTGGTCTTGGGGACTCCCTGACCCTGCAGCTTTGGATTCATCCAGACCTGGGTTTCCAAGCATGACTCCGCCATCTGCGTGACACACACGGGGCCACTGTCCCCACATGATGCCTCTGTTTGAGGATGTGGTCACAAGCAGAATACGGTGGGCGAGCTCCCCTTCCCAGAGTCTTACCGTCGTCCTCGTCCGTGGCACCCGGCGTGGGCACAAACAGGGATTCGGACAGCCAGCAGTAGTCCTCTTCCCATTGTAATATCGACTTTGTGAGAAGGTCATACTTCAGTATCTGTGCGTCCAAAGAAAAGAGACATGGGGCCCTGGCCGGTTTGGCTCAGCGGTTAGAGCGTCGGCCTGCGGTCCAGAGAGGCCCGGGTTCGGTTCCCGCTAAGGGCATGTACCTCGGTTGCAGTTTGTCCCCAGCCCTGGTTGGTCGTGCGAGTGGCAGCCACTCAATGTGTCCCTTTCACATCGATGTTTCCCTCTCTCTCTCTTCCTCTCTCTCCCTCCTGCTCTGTCTGTACAAAAAATGGAAAAATGTCCTCGAATGAGGATAAAAAAAAAAAAAGAAAGAAAAAGAAAAGAGACATGGGATGACTTGCCGGAAGGCATACTTATTCCTGTCAACAGGAAGGCGGGGGGCCCAAGGGAAAGAAGCCCATGTAGACTCCAGTGACATCCACCTCTGGTCAGGGTAACAAGAGAAATGAAGGCAGCCAGCTTCCTCCTCCGGCCCGAAGCAAAGGTCCTTCTGCTACCACATAGCTGACATTACACACTGAGCTCTTTTCAAAACAAAAATCCTGAATGTGTCTGGTGCTTGGCACAACACTGCAGTTTTTCTACCATTAAATGAACTAATGTATTCAATGCAAACATTGAAAGTATAATTCCTGTGTTGTTTTAAAAGTGCAGATCACTAGACTTCTCGTAATCACCAAGAGGCCTGTGTCCCCTTAGGATGTGGTAGATTAGTGGGGAGTGACTTGGGGCGTGTGTATGTGTGTGGAAAACCTAATTTTCTTTTCTTTTTTTTTTAATCCTCACCCGAGGACATTTTTGCATTTATCTCAGATAGAGAAGGAGGTGGGGGGGGGGGGGAAACATCGATGTGAGAGACACACATCGACTGGCTGCCACCCACACAACTCCAACCAGGGCCAGGGACAAACTATAACCAAGGCACGTGCCCTTAGTGGACACCGAACCCAGGACTCTCTGGTCCGTGGGCTGACACTTTAACTGCTGAGCCAAACCGGCCAGGGTAAAAACTTAATTTTCTTACTTGGTACCTTTCTACACTGTACATTTTTTTTTTTCAAAAAGACTTTCCATTTCATTGTTTAAAAATGAAGATATTAAGGGAAAGTGGTATCAGCGCAGCACTTAGTCCCGGGGTCTAGCAAGGGCTCCTAAAAGAGTACTTTAAAAACGGAACAAGCCCTGGTCAGTGTGGCTCAGCGGCTGGAGCATCAGCCGGAGGACCAAAGAGTCTGCGGTTCGATTCTGGTCAAGGGCACGTACCTCCGTTGCGATTCAGTCCCTGGCCCTGGTTGGGGTTGTGCAGGGGAGGCAACCGATTGATGTGTCTCTCTCACATCGATGTTTCTCTCTTTCTCTCTCTCTCTCCCTCACACTCTATCTGAAGATAAATAAACAAGTATCCTCAAGTGAGGATTTAAACATAAATAAATAAATACCAAACAAATCTTCCAAGTTTCAGCTGTACTCTCCCTGCTTGAGAGGGTGAGGCAGGGACGGGATCCCCCTTACACTTCCTCGTCCTCACTGCCTACCACCTCGCAGTACACAGCTGGCACTCCTAAAACACGGCTGCAGTAAAGAAAGCAACGGGTGAACTGCAGCTGTGGCCTCTTTCCTGAGCCTCACCCAGAGGTACGGCTCCCTCCCTTGGCTCATCATGGCTTCAAATGTATTTTGTCCAAACTGACCTCACTCTCTGACCCACCTCCTGTCCCCCAGGGACCTCCCTCTTGCCCTCCCTTTCTTACACCCCCCTCCCCTGCCCCCAGTCTGAGAACCTTCGAGTTCAGCTTTGTTGACAGACCGGGTCGTAGGCTGTGATTGCCCAGGGACCAGTACCTTGGTTGGGCTGGAACTTGTATGAACGTCAACAGCAAAGACATATCGATATGGCTTCCCGTTGTGAGCGTAATTGATCTGAGGCAGCTCTAAGCCTAGAGAGAATGACACAGCTGGTGAAGCCCCTGTCACCGAGGGCTGGGCACCCTTTCCACAAAAACAGCTCCCAGGCCAGGATCCCTGAACTTGATTCAGGCCCTGGACTGGATCAGGGTAGTTACCGGGCAGCGGGAAGGAACCCCTGATAATTATCCTGGCTCTATTAGAAGGTTCAGGAGCAAGGCATTTAAGTATATGAAAATCTTTAATTATCCAAGATAGAAATCAAAAATAATTGCATGATTAAAATCAGAGGCGATTGCAATTTTTTAAAGCTCTTTAAAAAAAGTACTCATGTGTGCACACACGTGTGTGTGGGTGTGAAGAGAAAATTCTGAATCTGTGGAAAGGAGTGTCAGTGGGGAATAATTAAATAAATCTGGTGAATTCCTATAATAACATTATGTTAGGATAATATTTACAAAGAATTTTAATAGCATGGGAAAGTATCCAGGTCATAAGATGAAGTGTAGCCCTGGCCGGTTTGGCTCAGCGGTTAGAGCGTCGGCCTGCGGTCCTGAGAGACCCGGGTTCGGTTCCCGCTAAGGGCACGTACCTCGGTTGCAGTTTGTCCCCGGCCCTGGTCGGTTGTGCAGGTGGCAACCACTCGATGTGTCCCTTCACATCGATGTTTCTCTCTCTCTGTTCCTCTCTCTCCCTCCCACTCTACCTGAACAAAAAATGGAAAAATGTCCTCGGGTGAGGATTAAAAAAAAAGATGAAGTGTAAAAGGTTGATTATAGAATTATCTCCACAACGTTAAAAATGAAGAGAAAAAGTTTAGAAGCACTGCTGGGATGATAACTTCTAAATAGTTTATATTATATATTGCACATTCTATACATTTCTCATTTTGTGAAATATTCATCATACTTACTACTTTTGTAATCCAAAAAAAACCTTAAAATTTTGTCCATGCAGCCCTGGCCGGTTTGGCTCAGCAGTTAGAGCATCGGCCTGCGGTCCTGAAAGACCCGGGTTTGGTTCCTGCTAAGGGCACGTACCTCGGTTGCAGTTTGTCCCTGGCCCTGGTTGGGTCGTGCGGGTGGCAACCACTCGATGTGTCCCTTTCATGTCGATGTTTCTCTCTCTCTCTCTCCCTCCCTTCCTCCCTGCCTCCCCCTCTATCTGAACAAAAAATATCCTCTGGTGAGGATTAAAAGAAAAAAATTGTCCATGTAAATGCATATATATTTATATATGCCTGTTGTGTCTAATTAAATTTCTAAGTCTGAATACCAAAATGCAAGTGCCCCTCCTATGAAACAGGCCAGGTAGTTGGAGCCAACTGCTGGTGAAAATACAATGTGCAATAAAAGAGGAGGCAGGATGGACACATAGAGTCCTCCTGAGAAAGACCCAAGGCATAAATGGCCATCAGGCTCAGTGAGCAGTGAAGGGGAATGGACTGCTGAGATGAGACCATGTATAATCTCCTAAGCGAGTCATCGTGAAACTTCCAAGACACAGGTCATGATGAACGAGAGGAGGAGGGACCACCCACACACTTAAATCAGGAAAAAAAAATGCCCATAGTCAGCCCTAGAGTAAGCCTGAGACTTCCCATGATGCTCCTGGGCCCCTCAAGCCTGGTCTAGGCTCCCTTCCCCCACACTGTAAATGGCCAACCACTTGGTTCAGCAAAGTATGACTCATTCTGGCAAATTCTGCATGGCTATTAAAACCACATACATTCTTGAAGACTCTTCAGATGTGGGAAGATTCTCAGGCGACATTCATTAGGTCGAAGAAGCCATCTCAGGGCATTCTAGGTGGTATGGTTCCCATTTGTAAACGTATCAATGTAGAGGGGAGGGGTTCGGATCAGAGAAAACTGGGTGCAGACCCTGACTTTGCTGCCTGTCCTTAGGCAAGTGACCACATTATCCTCAGCTTTGCTGTCCTCCATTCTAAAGTAAGAAGGACATGTGCTAACACCTGCCTGTTCAGGTTCTAATAGTAACGGCTACCTTTTGCTGGACTCTCACTACGGGCTGTGCCCTGAGTTCAGCCCCTCAGATGTGAACGCACCTGATGTAACAGGATGTCTGTGCTGGGATAAAAGAAGAGGGTGTCCGAGGAGCTCTAAGAGGAGGGCCTGGCGGATGCCGAGTGATCCGTACCCGATAGGAAAGACTGGATGGGTTGTCATGGGTGGAGGGATTATGGGGGATTTACCTATTGCCATACTTTTCAGTATTGCCTAAGATCGCTACAGTAAATAGCACTTCTCGTCTCAGAAACAAAAGGACCATCCTGTTTTAAGCCTCTGTCTGCCCACACCACGTGGCAGGGGCGAGGAAATGGAAGTTGATGCCTTCAGAATTCGAGACGAGATCTGTGTTTTCACTTGTAAAGACTCCTGGAGTCTGGGGTGCCACCCAGAACCGGTTATTGGATCCATGGGACACTGTTTACAGAAATGAGTTTCAGTGGGCAAATCTGAGGTCATCCTAGGAGAGTCCCCAGGATAGCACCCTTCTAGGTGCCTGAACCTGGCACGGGGCCGCCAACATGGGGAGCGAGCTTTGAGGTCAGAGCCACGCCCTGCCACTTTCGGAGTATCCTGGGCAAGCCTGTTCACTACAAACGTAGGTGTTGCGCTCAGACCCAGCTAAGCCAGACTTTTGTCACATGTTGGTGATAACACTGAACACAAAAACATGGTCCCCACCCCATGGACTTATTCTATTCTAGGGCAGTGGTTCTCAATCAGGGCGATGGTGCCCCCATGGGACACTGGCAATGTCCGGACATGTTTCTGGTTATTCCAGTTCAGGGTGGGGGTGCTACTGGCATCTGGTAGGTTGAGGCCCAGGATGCAGTTCAACATCGTACAATGCCCAGGACAGCCCCCGCCACAGAGAATGACCGGCCCCGGGTATCAGTCGTGCCAGGTTGGGGAGCCCTGCTCTGGTGGGTGTGACTTCTGTTCAAGGGGTTTTCCATTGTGGGTGTAGCTCTACCTTTCTGGGGCTGACAGCACCTGTCTGTTACACAGGGTGCTGTGAATGCGCAGAGTCGACATGCAGTCGCGCTGCGTCTGTAAGTCAGCATTCGATACAGGGCAGCGTCTGGAGCAGACAGCGCGACAGTCAGCGGGTCCAGTACCGTCCCTGTGCCTTCCAGGGAGGTGTCTGATGACATATAAAAGACAACTGTCTCCGGATGTTTTTCACGGGGCATGCTGAAGAGCCCTCCTCTGGGACCCTTGTGGGTGCCTAGCATCTCTGAATCGGAAGGAGGCGTTACCTAAAGAGGCCTGGGGGTCTTCGTGAAATTCTGCCCTTCCCTAAACACAGGGGTAGAGGATGTATTTTACCTTTGAAAAGCAGCTCAGGCTGGCAGTAGACTTGGTCATCTTTTTCCTTCAGGGCTTTTGCTGTGGTAGATGCCAGTTGGACTAAATTTGAGCCCACTTCTGCATTCTGAAAGAATCCGTTTTCCAAAAAAACAAAATGTGTTACCCAAAGAAAACATGTATTTTACTGTGTGTGTATATCACCCGAGGACATTTTTTCCATGTTTTGTTCAGATAGAGTGGGAGGAAGAGCGAGGAAGAGAGAGAGAGATACATCGATGTGAAAGGGACACATTGAGTGGTTTCCACCCGCATGACCCAATCAGGGCTGGGGACAAACTGTAACCGAGGTACGTGCCCTTAGCAGGAACTGAACCTGGGTCTCTCTGGACCGCAGGCCAACGCTCTAACTGCTAAGCCAAACCGACCTGGGCTACTGTGCATATTTTTAAAAAAATGTTTTTGAGTATGTCATCTTGTTATGGCTTTCCACTACTCACAGGAAGCAGCATTTGTATTATTGGTATTCTCAGTTAAAAATAAGGATCGGCGATTTGAACGGATTCTCCCAAGATTGCAGAGCTAGTAGGTGGTAGGAGAGGGCCCCCTAAAACCAGCTCTTGTTTTCTACTATGGGGAACCTTATCCCTCACAGGTGAAATTAGTGTACTTTTTAAAGATGGGATGATTCACCTATAAAAGGCTGGATCTGTCATTAAAAGGATGTTCATAAAGAGTTCGTCATAACATGGGAAATGCTCGTGATTGAATGAATGCTGAGTGAGAGAGCAGCAGGGTAAATTGCATATACAGTCTGAGCTCAAGTAGGTACAAGAATTACACTAAAAAGAGCCTGAAAGAGATATACCAACTATCAACAATATAGCAGGGAGTGGCATTATGGGGACTTTCATTTCTTTTCCTATGCTTCTCTGTGCCTCCAGTATTTTCTCCCGTAAAAATGTATCACTGCTGAAAAGAAAATAAACATGCAATAAAAATTACTTGGGAGAAAAATATCTATCAAGGACATTCCTTGGTCTCAAGTTACAATCAGACTGCTCTGTTCAGTACCTTACTGCCATCATTGTAACCCAGGAGAGAGATTTAACAAGATTGAATATTTATTGGGCATCTACTACTCCCTGCTTCTCCACATACTAGTTATGGGACCTTGAGTACGTTACTTAGCATCTCTGAAATTCAGTGTTTTCATCTGTATAGCGAGGTCTAGTATATGCATTGTATGAATGGTATATGTGTCTCTGAATTATCGTGCAGATTAAATAATTCATGCAAATAATTTAAAAAGGGCCTGGTTAGCAGAAAGTCCTAGGTAATTAACTGCTGTTGATGATATCATTGTTATATTATTACCACTCTTACTACATTTCTGCCGCTACCACAGGGGGCGAGTTGAAGTTAGGATCTGGAAGACGGTCAGAAACTAGACCTCAAGTCCCTGCCTTCGTAGAGCGTATCAAGGAGAATTACTGTTATGGCTGAATTTTCATTTAAACATTTCTCTACTTTCCAAATTTTCCAAAATGGGCTTTTATAATGAAAACAAACCTATTTGACCCTGGTCGATGTGGTTCAGTGATTAGAGCGTCAGCCCAAGTACCGAAGGGTCTCAGGTTCGATTCCCGGTCAAGGGAATGTACCTGGGTTGCGGGTTTGATGCCTCAGCTTCAGGTCGGGGTGCATGCGGGAGGCAACCAATCAATCTCTCTCTCTCCCTCCCTCCCATCCCTCCTTTCCACTCTCTCCAAAAATCAGTGGAAAAATATCCCTGGGTGAGGATTAACAAAAATAAATAAATAAGTAACTACAAACAAACCTATTTGAATGATAGCTGTTTTTTGCTGGGAAGGAAAGAAAATTTACTGCATCCTAGCTATTAAACTGCAGGGACCCGTCAAGATTTTTCTAGTTCAATCTCCCAATTTATAGAAGACGAAACTGAGGCCCAGAGAAGGAAAATGTCTTGTCCAAGGTCACACAGAAGCAGAGTCTGGGCCGAGACCGTCACATGGTGGTTCTTCTACTCAGAAGCAAGGGCATTGCAGGCAGAGGACAAAGCAGGTGCAAAGGCCCAGAGGCTGCTTTTAGCGGCCTACATGCTCAGCTTGGGGAAGAAACTGCTTTCCATCCTGCCGGTCTCAACTCAAACATCCCCTTCCCTAACACCTCAATCTGCAGTGTCTCTGAGGCATTTGTCCCAGCCTGTAATTAGCTCCTTTATGGAGCTGCTTCCTTCTTTTATGCTCTTTCCTTAGGAAGACAGGGACCAGATTGAATACCGTGCATGGCACCTAGCTCCCAGGGAGTCACTGCTGAATAAATGAGTGAATGCATGACTCAGTAAGCTTTCCCTTTAACTGTCAAGGGGCAAAACGTGTTTTGTTGAGTGTTTGTAGGAATTAAAGGAGATGAAGTGCATTAAAAAGTCACTTAGCACCCAGCACAACTGCGGTTCCGTATAAACAAAAGTTCTGAGTGCCTCCCCCTGCGCGGCGCTACCAATTCGTGGGAGGCCCCTGCTGGGGACTCGCTAGTCACATGGCAGCAACAGGCCTCTTGTGCATGTCCTGGGCTTGATCCTTAGGGAGTCGATCTACAGAGCCACTTATAACTCCAGCCTGAAACTGGTCAGACTGGTTGCGGGACAAACTGAATTCTTCCACACGCAGCAGTAATGAACATGACTCGGCTGCTTCCAGTGGCCGACACGCTCAGCTCGGGGAAGAAGCTGCTCTCCAGCCAGAATTCGACACCATTCTGCGGGCTTACTTTGAAATCCCTCGACTGGAGGGGAGAAGTCGTCTCAGTAATTCCCTGAAACCCTGGCGTTGGCGTTCAGCAGCCCCGGGTGTGAGTTCTGACTCCGCCAGCTTTCTGGGAGAACGTGCTCATTCTCCCCGAGCCTGCTTCCTCGTTGGTAAAATAGGGGGACAGTTCGTAACTTTTGGACGGGTGGTGAGTATAAGCGAGGTTCCTTTGCCCTGCGTCTGAGGATAATGGTTAGAATGAAGTTAAATAATGGTTATGAAAACACCTGGTCCAGGGCCAGGCCCATCATAATGAGTAAGTTGGAGCCAGGCAGACATGCATTCAGATCCTAATTCCAATCCCACTGATAATTCTGCGCTGTTGGGCAGGTGACCTCTCATCTGCAGTCATAGGAAAATGAACCATTCAGGGGCCTCACAAAGACAAGGAGAGAAGCATGCAGAGCATGTAACTGCCCCTAAAACTGCAGGACCCAGGAGGGGGTGAGGCCCACCAATCCTAGGTCTAAACACATCAAATGCTTAAGTACTAGACCTCTCTCCCCTACCTCGGCACCCAGACCTTCATAACGTCGTGGACCAGCGCTGTCCCATATGGCAACCTCTAGCCACATGTGGCTATTTAAGTTCTAAGTGAAATTTAAAATTCGGTTTCTCGGCTGCACTGGCCACATTTCAGTAGCACGTGTGGCAGGTGGCCACTGCGCTGGGTGGACGGACAGAGAACGTGCCTTCGTGGCAGCAGGTACCATTGCACAGGGCTGGTCTGGACGGAAGTGTGAATTTAGAATCTAGGACCTCCTGGCTGGGAGCTGCAAGAAGGGAGCAGAACAAGGGCCGGCCTCCAGGCCAGGGCTCTCTGTCCCTGTTCCTTTTCTTCCCACCTCATGGGTGCCCCAGCATCCAGGCCAGCAGCCGGCCCTGGCCACCTTGTGGGCCCTGAGGACAGGGGCAGGCGCTGCAAGAGGGCTGGGCTATTTGGGAGAGAGACTCAGGGATCCCAGGTAGCCGGTTCATGGTGGGGTGGGGGAGGGTGTCCCTCTGGGAGGGCATAACCCCACAGCCCTTTGCACTCCTCACCCTGGGGAGAAGGAGCACTGCTGGAGAAAGGCCAGCTCAGGGCCCCCCAAAGTGCCAAGGCCGGAGCAGGGGCCCTTCTTGCTGAGGCCTAAGAGCAGAAAACTCATCTTAACATAGGGCCTGGCACAGATGAGCTCTCGTGGTGGCTGCTCTTATAATAGTGGGTTGTTTTTGCATTTGGAGAAAAGACAAAAACCAAATCTACTGAGCCATCCCTCTAGGTTCAAGACACCTGCCCTCCTCCCACGCCCTGCCCAGGATGGCCCCTCTGTGTGGATGGCTGTCAGGAGGGAAGTCAGTGCTTATGAACCCGTTTGCAGGACAAGGGCAGGGCACCTGCAGGGACTGTCTGCACACGCCCACGGCCCTCCCGGCCCAGCCCTGCCTTCGGCAATCCCCACACCACCCTACATAAACAGGCCAAGGGTGTCAAGAGGCCACTCCTTCCTTTGACCGCAGCTGGCCCGAACACAAGCGAATCTGGGGCAGCTGGGAGGTCCCAGACTTTTGCATGTACTTCACCACTGCCCATGCTACATAGAGAGCACTTTCCGCTTGGGGAATGCTCCAAATGCTAAAGGAGACCCTGTGCCCTTTTTGGAGACCTTGCTTCACGTTTTTCATCCAATCATTCATTTATTCATTCAAAATATTTACGAGCATAATGAGAACCCCTGCGTGCCAGACGCTGTGATGGGCACAGGGGATAAGCTACTGACAAAACAAAGAGTCCCGGCCCTGTCAGAGCTTCAACAGGAAGAGGCGACTGAACAAGTTCATGATACTTGAGATAAATGTTGGGCAAAGAGCTGCAGGTGCAATTAAAGTGTACGAACTCGTCTGAGGGGAGTAATGACCCTGAGACCTGCAGGATGACCAGGAAATTGCTATCTGGATGCAAGTTGGAATCCACCGGGGGCTCTGAGACCATGCCCACGCCTGGGCCCCACCCCTGGAGGCTCTGCCTTCACTGTGCTGGGCTGAGGCCCAACAGGAGCTGATGTGGCCTCAGAGCCCTCAGGTAGGTCCGCCCTGCAGCCAGGACTGGAGTGGAGGTCTGATAGGAAGAGCATAGGGCTGCAGGCAGAGGGACAGGCATGTGCAAAGGCCCCAGACTGAGGGGCATTTGAGAAAGAGTGGCATCTCCTTTGGTTCTTCCCTAATGAGCCTTTGGATTGGATGGAATTACAGCTGCCAGATCTGGGCATTTAGGCCACGTCCTCCCGCTTGACTTTCCAATTTCAATACGCAGGCGGGGCGACTTGAAAGTGAAGCTAGGAGACATTTTTAAGGGACAATAAATAGCAATTAGAAAGCGTGGCCAGAGTCACCATTCCCAGGGCTCACTCTTCTTGCTAGTTTCAAAGCAGCAGATGGCTCACATGGCGCCTTTTAAAAATATACATGCTAAACTTCTTAGCTTGGTTCCAAGCAAGCGAATCATCTCTGAGCGTGATAAAGGGTTATAAAATACCGTGGTGTGTGGGCAGTGGGAGACAGTCTTTGCTCTCTGTGTATCATCCCTGGACTGAGGTTAACATCAGGTGGGGCCTGGGCCTCGGGATTTGCCACCTGTGTGCTTTGTGACACTCCCCATTGCTTTCTGGAGCCAGGAGATGCGGTCCAAGGCCCTGCACTTGAAAGTGAAGCTCAGGGTGCAGAGGACACTGGCTCATGTGCTGATTATGTGGGACATGGCCCTTTATTCAATAGTCCTGAATCACCTGGAGAGAAAATTCATTCCTTTTTCTCTTCCAAGCTTTCTGTTGAGGTCAAGGGGCAAGTCTCAGTTAGGTGCCACTATGTCTTTAACAGCTAATACATTTTAGAACTTTCTTATTAACAAAGAGATTAAGTCTTGGCAAGCAACAGTATCTGGCTAGGTCTGAAGACCTCTGCTTTATTTCCATTTTCTTAATGCTCACGCTTGCCTGCTATTTGCAGCGAGCAAGGCTGGCTTTCCATTCGGCAGTGATAGGTGTTCTTTCAATAGTGGGTTGATTTAAACAAAAATGTGACTTTGTAGGTGTTAAATAGAGGTGACAGGAAATGTGGTAAAAATCACAACAGAGACACACAGATGACTTGGATGGGGAAATGCGGGAGAGACAGGAACAGGTGTTTCAATGCAGGCCCTGCTCACTGGTTGGGAGATGCCTGAACCCCAGCACTGAGGAGCCTGGCAGTGGGGGTGAGAAGGCTCCCTGGGCCCTGGGGGAGGACCTCCTGTTCCTCAGGCCTGCAGAGCCCCAGGAGGGACCAGTGTGACCCATCTGGGGTTCTTTCCGGGCATTAGGTCTGCTGGGGAGAACAGCAGAATGATACCCCTTTCCAGCCATAGGGGTGGATTTAGACAGGCTGGTGCAGATAACAATCTTGGCTCTGCTGCTCTGGGCTGTGTGATCTTGGGCACATTCTTTTACCTCTCTGAGCCTCAGTTTCTTCATCCGTAAAGTGGGTCTAATATAAGGACCTCTCCCACAAGTTATTTGGATCATTAAGTGAGGTAAGGAAAATAAAATGCTTAGCCAAATACCTGACGCACAGAGTGCATTTAGTAAATATGAGCCATCAAAATGAAATTGAATTGAATTTGGTTCCATTTAAATTAATTAAGTCATGAAGTCAGTGAGTTCTGGAGCCAGAAGCCTCTGTAGTCTCCAAAACCAAGCCCAGAGCCTTGGCAGCATCACCCTAATTGAGGATAATGTCTGACTTAGTGATCATTTTTAATGCAAGAACAGGACTATTCAGCAGCAGGGCACGGGGTAAGCAAATGGTGTTGAAGCCCTGCCACGGGCTGTCAGGAAAATACCAAAATGATGTAGTAGAAGAACATTTAATGCCGTGGAAAGATATTTAGATATACATTTATGTGAAAAGAGCAGTACACAAGAGAGTAGGTACACTTTCAGCCGCGGAAAGGAATGAAGTACTGACTCACACCACGGCACAGACAAACCCCGAAAACGGTGCTGAGTGAAAGAAGCCAGGCCACAAACTGCACGACCCATTTCTATGAAGCACATCCTCAGAGACAGAAAGTAGAGTTGTGGCTGCCAAGGGCAGGGGCTGGAAGGATTGGGGGCCGGGGGTGACGGTTGAGGGGGGCGGGATTTGTTTTGGGGGTAATAAAGGTGTTTTAAAAGTTGATTGTGGTGATCATTGTACAATTCTGTGAATATACTGAAAGCCATTGGATTATACAGTTTAAATGAGTGAAAATGGGTGACTTATATGGCACGTGAATTACATCTCAATAAAGCAGTTAAAAATTATGTACAGTGATTTCCTTTTCTAAAATCATACTGTACATAATTTTAATCACGTTATTGAGATATATATCAATGTGTATATATAATATATATGTCAATTATGTGCATGTGTATATATCAATGTGTCTGTCTAGCTAGCTAGCTATGGAGAAAGAAACTTGGGGGCAATACAAATATAGCTACAATGGGTTAATGTAGATATATTTTCATCTATATTTTCATCAAGTTTCTTTTCATCTATATTTTCAAAAGTTCCTACTATGACTATCTACTACTTTTCGGAAAATAACAAGAAATGTTTTCTTTCTTTAAGAACAGCTCATTTTGGATTTCAATGTCAATCAAATCAGGGCCCAAGCAACTTCCTGCCTGAGCTGGCGTCTCCCCAGGAGTACAGTGGGCCTTCCTTCAGGCCTTTACCTGGTCTGTGCGGAGAGGCACGGCGAACCTCTTGAGGGCGGGGACAGGGTTGTTCCCGGAGCGCCCTTTAATGTCTTGTTTCAGGTTGGCCAAGTAGAAATAGTCGTACAGACTGTTGTCCTCGTAGGCAATGACGTCAAACAGAAGGCCGCCGTCCTCTTCGTAGGCATTGACGTGATGAAAGACCACCATCGGGTCCGTGTAAAACTTGGTGGGCACGGGCTTCCCAGTCCTTTGATCGATGATGTGAATGTAAGTCTGAGGGAAGAGACACAGCCAGTGGTCGGCTCTCCCTCTGCTGGCCCAGCACAGTGGCGTCAGGCACGAGACAAGACCCAGCCCTGCCACGTACCAACTCATGAACCTGAGCGTCCCTTCCCCCTTCCGACCCTCTGCGTCCCGCCTCTGGAGTGCCAGCCACGCAGAAGCAGGGGGCCAGTGGGGGCTGTCCGTGGTTGCGTGTCTTTGATCGTCTCTTTCCAGTGGAGAGGAAGGAAGTCTGTGGGCCCGGGCCTCTGCGTCGCCGGGGGGACAGTGTTTGGGGGAGGCCTCAGAGGGCGCACTGTTTCCCCTCCTTCACTTGGCTGGGATTCCAGGTGCGGGGCAACATGCTAGGTCCCTGGATATGGCCAAGTAGGAGAGGACGGGGCAGGTGCCAGACCTGCAGGCCTCCCCAGGCTCCATCCGCAGCAGAGCCCCTAAAACTCTAAAACCACACCTTCCCTCTTGGGTCCCCTCTCCGACCTCCACCGTTGTCACAGCAACGCCCCTGCCCGGGAAGGCTGAGTGACCTGGTTCTAGTTAAGGAGCCCACGTGGGTATCAGCTCATGAGGCTGCTGCGCACATTCCGGGTGTCGCGAGGCGGTGTCACTCTGGGTGGTAATTAGCCGTATCTGGAGCCCCAGTTGCCTCATCCAAAGGGAGGGGGGTGTTTCTACCTTTTGGCAGCACTGGCCCAACCACCCTCCTTCTGAAAGGGAGGGAGGGGCCACTCCGGGCTGATGTTGCACCACCTCCCTGCTTGTTTGCCTCTTTCTCGCCCCCCTGGAATCAAACTTTGAATGTTGCGCAGAGTGCAGAGGAGGGTGGCATGGCAGAGGGAGTTGCAGGGTGCAGAGGAGGGTGGCATGGCAGAGGGAGTTGCAGGGTGCAGAGGAGGGTGGCATGGCAGAGGGAGTTGCAGGGTGCAGAGGAGGGTGGCATGGCAGAGGGAGTTGCAGGGTGCAGAGGAGGGTGGCATGGCAGAGGGAGTTGCAGGGTGCAGAGGAGGGTGGCATGGCAGAGGGAGTCGGTATGGGAGGTGAGCACAGGGGTAATTAGTTTAGGCTTTTTCTTCCCCAGGATCCCAATCCCTGGTTCAGCCACAGAGACTTTCAGACAATTCTCTTTGAAATGCACTCCAAAGCCCTTCCCAGAACCCTGGGCCCTACCCCCCAGGGGCCCAGGGAATCCCCAGGGGCCTCAGGTTGGAGGCCCAGAAGGGCCCTGTGGCTCCTGCCCATGGGATGCTCCTCTGTCATGTTTGGTTTTTGTTTTTTTTTTGGTACGAGCACCCTGCAAGGAAGTAGTCTTCATGTGCATTTTAAGAACGTGAACACATAAATGAAAAACGCTGCAGATGGACCGACAAAAAGCTCAGCCTCTTTTTAATGGACTTCCTGGGTGAAAGTCAGGGACACGGGGAAGCAGAACAATGGAATGCAAACAAGAGATTACCCACAGTGCACCTCAGTGAGTAAACACTGTGACCTAACAGCAGCCATGCCCAAGAAGTGTCTGGGGAATTAGCTGGCATCCCTGCTGCCCCCTTGCCCCACTCATTCATTCCACAGATACTTATAGAGGGCCTATGACACATCAGACAATTTCTCAGGAACTAGAGAGACAAAATAAAACCAAACCCTGCTTTCTTGGAATTTCTATTCCAGTGGAGGTGAAGCCAACAGCCAATGATCACATATATACTGTGTCAAGGATGATGAGTACCACCGAGAAAAATTAAGCAGGATGGGGTGGAGGGAGCCTGCGAGGGGTCTGTTCCACATAAGTTCATCGAGGAAGGCCTCGAGGTACGGGGCTTGAGCTGAGACCTAGAGTCACTGAGGTAGAAAACCACGGGGGAAGAACATCCCAGGATACAGAAAATGCGAAGGTGCTGAGGCAGGAATGTGTTGGGCTGGTTAGAGAATCAGGAAATACAGGAGGAGGTGGAGTGAGCAGGGAGCCAGTGGCTGGGATGAGGGCGTGTGGGATTTACAGGCCAGTGAGTGAGGCCTTTAGATCTTATTCCAAGGAAGACAGAAAATAACTGGAAGGTCGTAGCAGACGAGGGACTACACCTAACCCCTTGTTCCTTCAAACACCTCACTCTCCTCCCTGGGAAGAGAGGATACGCCTTGAAGAGGTGGTATATGTACACAAAGATGTACACGGGGCATAGAAAGAGGAGTAGAAGGATGTCAAGTAGACAGTGGTGGTTCTCTCTAGAGAGGGCAGTCGATGGGGAGGGGACAGCAGGTGGGCAGGGGACCTGATATGGTGCTTTCTACACTTGTATATTATTTGAATGACACTGAGAATTACTTGATGTATTTCACAAGTAACAACAGCAAATAAGGACATACACACACACACATGTACATGCATACATATATTCATACACACAGATACACAGATACACATGTGAAGAAATAGACGTACATACATGGACACAGGCACATGCACACACGTACATATTTTGTGCACCCAGGTGTACCTATATTGAAGACGTTTCTGTTGTACCACTTAGGGGAACACTCTACCGTTACGATGTCTGAATAATCTGTGCCCCCTCACTGCCTCGCCATTGCCCAGTGGCTGCAGGGACGCCGAAAAGGCCCTGTCAGTGGACAGTGCAGGCTGGAGGAGTGGGCACTGCTGCGGGTGGGTGAGGACTGCCTTGGCTGATGAGGCTACCTGGCCCAAGGTCACACCCTGTTTCAGGACAGCCTCCTCTACCGACTTACTGATGTGGGGCCTCCAGACCCAGCACCCGGGGCCTAACTCGGGACCACGACCGTTCCAGCTTCAGAACTCTTTGGAAGGCCGGCTGATGCCTCTGGAGAGATGGTAGCTTACGTCCTCCTTTCCTGAGAAACCTCCTACATGCTGGCCTCCATCTCAGTGACCTCTTCCAGGGACACCTCGTTCTGGCTGTCCTCACCTGGGGGTCCCAGCCAGGGCTTACCTTGTCCTGCTTGTGGAAGGTTAGACAAGATGCCCAATTCACTCCCTGGATGTACGCAGTGGCCATCTTGAGAATGTCTATCCTGTAAGGCTGCTCGAGAAAAATGATGTAGTTCTCGGTGACCCCGAAGCTGTGGTAGTAGCTCGGGGAGAGGAGAGAGCGGGAGGTGAGGGAGCAGAGCACCTCCATGTGTTGCAAGGGGCTCTTCCCCTTCGTCCTGTCTGGAGAAAAGCAAGCGTCAGGCAGAGCACGGGGCCTGGCCCCCAGACCACGGCCGGCAGTGGAGCCCCTCAAACTGACCTGCTCACTAAGAAGAACCTCGGAGTAAGCCCTGACCAGTGTAGCAGATGAAGGGGTTGCTGCCTAGCTAATGTGGGGCAGAGGCTCAGCGTCCTCCCTGCTCTGGCCCACACCCTCTGAGACCCGATTCTGCAATCTGAAAACAATGAACCACACTGTCAGGCTTCTGGGCTCAGGGTCTGCACCACAGCCTGGGGCTAGCCCAGCCTCCACCTGCTTTTGGACAAAGGTTTATTCGAAACACAGCCACGCTCCCCCCTTTCTGCAGGGGCCACTGCGGCTTTTGCTTTCAAGCCACAATAGCACTGTTGAGTAGCTGCAGCTGAGGCTGCGTGTCTGCAAAGCCTCAAATATTGACTCTCGGACCCTAACAGGAGAAGTTTGTCAGCGCCTGCTCTGGAGCAGTGCTTCTCAAACTGTATTGCACATACGGGTCATCTGAGCATCATGATGAAATGGGGAGTTTGGCTCAGCAGGCGGGCTGGGCCTGAGGTTCTACCAAGTTGGGCCAGGTGATGGGCTAGCTTCCCAGGCTTGTGCTTGGGCATTTTGCTGAGGACTCTCACTGGACATGGTGAATTAATAGAAAAAGTACATATTGGCCTCTGCCCCCAGCTCCTGGCACAGAGCTCCTAAAACCCGTGTAAGAGCATGAGGAACACCTCTTGTTCTAATGTTTGGTCTCTGACCCTGTCCCTGACCTAGGGCTCCTGAAACCTCTGCAGACTCCGAAGGGGTAAGAGCTCTAGGAGCATCATTGGCTCTAACAAGGGGACTCTCGGTGGGCTCCTGGATGGGGGCTGGTCACCAGAAAGACCAAGCTGTGATTATACACTTGGGATTTTTCAGCTCCACACCCCATCCTCCAGAGAAGAGAGGGGCTAGAAACGGAGTTAATTATCCATCATGCCTACGTGAGAGAGCCTCCGTAAAATCCCTACAGTATGGGGTTGAGAGAGCTTACAGGTGGACACATCCACACTGGGAAGCTGACACACCCCAACTCCTGAGCTCCGGAACCTCCCAGACCCTACCCTATGTATCTCTTTGTCTGGCTGTTCACGTGTCCCCTGTATCATGTCCTCGAATAACTAGTAAATGTGTTTCCCTGAGTTCTGTGAGCCACTCTAGCAAATTAATTGAAACAGAGGAGGGGGCGGTGGGAACCCCCGATTTGTAACCAAGTCGGACAGAAGCTGTGGGTAACCCGGAGACCCTCTACTTGTGATTGGCATCTGGGGTGGGTGGGGTAGGAGCAGCCTTGTGCGACTGAGCCCTTAGCCTGGGGGTTGGACACTATCAAATAGCCTTAGAACTGAGTTCAATTACAGGACACCAGCGGGTGTCACAGAGAACTGCTTGGTGTGGGGACACCCCCGCCACCTTACTTCAAGTGTCAGAAGTGTTGTGAGCGTGGAGGAGTGAGAAAGTGAAGGGGACACGCAGGAGAGAAACACAGGAGGGAAAATTGGAGTTTTCTAATCAGACGTGTATTTCAGAGGGGTTCCGCGAATCTTTCTTGGCATGGCCCACTCTGAAACACTTGAGAATGAGACCAAGTACCTATGGTGATGAAGGCTTTTACATATATGGACTGATCTATCATTATGACCAAAGTTACAGGGTTAAGTCAAGACATAACCCTTAGCCTGACTACCTCTTCTGAGATGTGTTAGGGGTCATACTACTCACAGGGTGAGGGAGGAAGCAGAGTATAATAATGGAGCAGTCCAAGTACTTTGCCCAGTGCCAAAGCATGGAAGGTGCTCAGTACTTATTTGGTTTTCTTCTTTCTCTGCAAGGATGAGTCACCTGCTGGCCAAAAGGCCTCCCCTCCCAGGCCTGGGGCTGATTTCTAATGAGCTACCTGCAAGAGTCTCTACCTTCCTTGTGGCCATCTGTGCACAGCTGGCTGGTGGGAGGGAGGTTGTGGGCTAGTTTTCTTTTTTTCACAAAACAAATGGAGCACAAAGCAAACCAAATGAAAAGCACCCTAGTCTGGCAGGCAGGAGCTGGGCATGATCCCGGGGAAGCCACCAGCAGGAGCAGGTGCTCAGAGTGTTGCTGCTTGCATGATGTTGGTGGCTCCTGTGAGCTGTGTGACCATGGGCATGTCGCCTGAGCCCCTGGGCCTCGCATTCCTCCTCTGTAATATGAGGTGGTAAACTCAAATGCCTAGACCATCCCCAGGTCTGACATTCTAGGAGTCTAAGCTAGACCTCACATCCCTTTATTAGCTTAATTAATAGGAGTTCCATTTAACAAGAATACTCATTGTACCTTCTGACCTCAGGGGCTTGCTCACTTCCATCAGCAGAGCCTGGTAATTTGCTCAGGAGGTTCTACAGGACTATGGGGAGAGGGAGCAGCAGGGATCACAGACGGAAACCACTTATCCTAAAAGGGTCAAGACAGTCACCCTTGTAGTTCTGCCCTCTCTCCAGCCACCATTGGAGACCAGGTCTCCTGGGTGTGGTTCCCAGGAGGACCCTGGACAGAATAAGGCCTACGAGCCCCACCTTCCTCCCCCTCAGGAACATAAAATCACGATTGGCCTGGGCTTCCCTCCAGGATCCCTGTGCTAAGTGGAGAAAGTCTAGAAGGCCTGTAGAACAGGGTGGGGATCTGGAGTTGATCCCAGCAGGCTGAGCTCCCTGAACAACCCTGGGAACCTGGCTTCAGGGGCTGGGGTGAAAGTGGGTAGCCACAGCCCTGACATACAAAAGTTTGCCAGAAAACTGAAAAAGTGCCAGGGAGGAAGGACGGAAGGAAGGAAGGATGGACGGACGAAAGGATGGACAGAAGGAAGGAAGGAAGGAAGGAAGGAAGGAAGGAAGGAAGGGAGGAAGGAAGGGAGGGAGGGAAGGAGGGAGGGAGGGAGGAAGAAAAGAAGGAAGGAAGGATGGAAGGAAGGGCAGAAGGAAGGAAGGACGGATGGACGAACGGACAGACGGAAGGACAGAAGGAAGGAAGGAAGGAAGGAAGGAAGGAAGGAAGGAAGGAAGGAAGGAAGGGAGGGAGGGAGGGAGGGAGGGAGGGAGGGAGGGATGGGAGATGGGTGGATGATAAATGGATGATGGGTGGATGAATAAACAATGAATGAATGAATGATGAATAAATCAATGAATTAATGAACTGGAACCTATAGAAAATGAGGTTAGAGTAGTAAAGGGACTCACTTCTTCCAAAAGGAAGCCCAGCAATATCTCTTTGCTCCTAAAGAAGAGAAATTAGTTCATGGCCGTCTGAATCATCTGGGAGGGAAAGTGTCCGATTGAGTCTGTGTCATCAATAAAAGTCAGACCTCTTCAGAGGGAGCTACCCTTGGTTCTTTATTGTACCCCCAGGATGACCTACCTGGCACTGTGGCAGGGATCTTAAAGATCACATATTTTGTCTTCCCCTTGTCCATAATGGATGTGCCTATGTTGAGAACATTTCCAGCAGAATCATAATGAGGATGCGACGTTGCCACATTTATACCCACGCATTTGCGATAATCAACCTGCAAAATATGACAGGCACCTGGTCAAAAAGGGGAGACATTGAAATCCTGTGAAGCTGACTGATCCTAGGTTCAGAGAGATGACGGCTATTTTTGCACATTTTCTGATCTGAAAATAAGGCAGACTTCACCTTCTAAGAGGTTTACTCTTGTGACCTGGTATAACCTCCTGGGGGTCCTCCTACAGAAAATAGGTTGCAAGGGGTCTAGCGAGCTGTGTGTTTTCTGTGTCAGTTTTTCAGATTCTGCTGCCTGGCCCCGCCGGGGATCCTCAGAGTAAAGACAGGACACCTCACCACAGAGAACTCTAAGCAATGACCTGTGCAGAGAGGCAGCCACAGTGCTAATCTTGGCCACTGCTCTGTGTCATACATAAATGAAATCTTCTCCTTTTGCATTCCACAGAGGCAGAAATCTCCAGGCCTCTCTCACAGAATTATTCTGGGAATGGAGAGCTTACAAAAACATTTGGTCAAAGTGAAATTCAACTAGCAAGCTCAATAATGACTGGGCTCTGAACAAGCCACAACTGTAGAACAACGAGGTGGCCTGGGACCAGCTGTCTACCCTTCCTGCCCCGGAATAGCCCAACCCCCAGCCAAAAGTCAGGCAAAACTCTGCTCTCTCCTAGCATTTCCTCCGTAATTTTGTGGAGCGCATACATCAGTTAGCCCGATGCTGCCTAGTTTAAAAGGAGCTGGATATAATTTCACAGCCAAGAAGAGCATGCCTTTTAACAGATCATTAAAACGTATTTAGAAAACATCAAGGCTTTGAACATCCAGCTGAAGAAAATTGAAAGTGGGTCTACTGATTTTCACAAAAATGTTGACTTGATTCTGCCTGGGCAAAGTGTCTGCTGGGGCATTTATTTTTTACTCTTGCTCTCTGCCTAATGCCTCCCTCTTCAGGCCGTTACAAGGTAGGGCCACTGGGAGGCCCGGGAGGTCCAGCACAGCCATTCATTTAGACCTTCACTGAGCTGTCACTCAGACCCAAGAACTACGTACTCTATTGAGGGTTGAGTTGTGTCTTTCAAAAAGATATATTGAGCCCTGGCCGGTTTGGCTCAGCGGTTAGAGTGTCGGCCTGTGGTCCAGAGAAACCCGGGTTCAGTTCCCGCTAAGGGCATGTACCTCGGTTACAGTTTGTCCCTGGCCCTGGTTGGGTCGTGTGGGTGGCAGCCTCTCGATGTGTCCTTTTCACATCGATGTTTCTCTCTCTCTCTCTCTCTCTCTCTCTCTCTCTCTCTTCCTCACTCTCTCTCCCACTCTATCTGAACAAAAAATAGAAAAAATGTCCTCGGATGAGGATAAAAAGACAAATAAAACAAGCAAACAAAAAGATATGTTGAAGTCATATCTCATTTGGAAATAGGGTCTTTGTAGATGTAATCAAATTAGAACGAAGTCATGCCAGATTAGGGTGGCCTTAATCCAATGATGTATATCCTTGGAAAAAATTGGAGTGATGCATTCATCTCTCAGCCGAGGAACACTAAGGATCTCTGGCAACCACAGAAGGTGGAAGAGGCAAGGAATGATCCTCCCCTACAGAACACTGTCCTCCTTCAGAGAGCATATGGTCCTACTGACACCTTAATTTCAGACTTCCAGCCCTCAGAATTGTGAGAGAATACATTTCTATTGTTTTAAGCCACCTCATTTGTGGTACTTGTTATGGTAGTCCTAAGAATAAAAACAGCCACAGAGATGAAAAAAATACAGTCCCACCCCTAAGGGAGCTTAGAATCTAGTATAAGTGCTGTGATGGGGAAGCACAAGAGCCAATGGCATTAGAAGAGGGGGCTCTGCCCATGACTTCCTGCAGGCCACATGGCCTCACCCAAGTGATTCCTGTCTTGAGTCAAAAACTTATGTTGGTTGTAGATTCTCTGATACCTTTTCCAGAGTTTCCAGAGTCTGGGGGTTGATTTTCCTGATGTAATTGGTCTCTGTGATTGCATAGAATTCTTCCCCGCACTTCATGATGTTAATCAGGCAGTTGTCTGTGAAATCTGGGATGATGTGGGACAGGTAGGAGAAAGCTCTGGGGAAGGAAGCAAATCAGCGGGTCAATGGCTCTGTCTGCCCAGCTGAAAAATTCTGCTTGAGATAGTTTTAAGTTTTCCCACCACTTAAAATACTCTACATCAACTTAAGTAAGAAAAAGTACTGGGTCCCAGTGGGTCACTTGAGGACTCAGCTATCAAGTGGCCAAAGTACCACCATACTGAATCAACTCAAGAGTGACAATCGGCTGGGACAATATAGCCACCAACCAAGCCCTCCTGGGCTCTCAAAAATCCAAAGGTCTCCCATACCAAAGTCAGAAAGAGCTGGTGGATTGCTCGGAAGAATTTTAAGAAGCTCTACAGAAATCATACGTGTACCCATAATGGCCCCCAAAGATTAGCAAAACAACTAATCTTTGTTTCTGGCAGAAATGTGAGTCTACACTGGTTAGGTCAAATTTGTCCAGAAAATTAGTTTTTTGTTTTTTTAAGAAAAGCAAACTAATTTTGAGTTAAGAACTCATAACAAATTTGCTCAGAAGGCAAATTCAAAAAGGTAGAGAGATAAATGGTGATAGAAGGAGACTTGACTTGGGGTGGTAAACATACAATACAATATACAGATGATGTAGAATAGAATTGTATATTTTAAAATTGTATAATTTTATTAACCAATGTCACCCCAATAAATTAAATTTCAAAAAATAAAAGGCAGCCCTGGCTGGTTTGGCTCGGCGGTTAGAGTGTCGACCCATGGACCAGAGAGTCCCTGGTTTGATTCCCACTAAGGGCACGTACCTCTGTTTCAGTTTGTCCCCAGCCCCGGTCGGGGTCTTGTGGGTGGCAACCAGTCGATGTGTCTCTCACATCAATGTTTCTCTCTCTCTCTTCCTCCCTCTCTCCCTCCCACTTTATCTGAAGATAAATGTAAAAAATGTCCTTGGGTGAGGATAAAAAAAAAACAACGGAAAGGCAAACTCAAAGCAGGAAAATAAATCCTGGATCCCTGTAATATTGGTTAGTGCTCCCCCTACTGGCAAGTAATGTAACAGCGTGTATGCCCCAAAGGTTATGGTTTTACATTCATTCCTTCCCCTCCCCTTTTCTTCACTGGCTCTTCCCCCGTCTGCAAATGTGAGTTCAGAGCAGTTCTGAATAAGCAGAAGCTCATCTATCTCTGGGCCAGTCCACTCCTCACACATTTCAGAACTCTTCTATATCTAGAGTATCAGGAAGGAGATACTGACAGCAGGCCCAATTTCATGGCCAACAATGAAACTTAATTGTCAACTATGTAATCGAATCTAATGCATTATAACCCAGGTGATTTAAAACAACAACACACACACACACACACCCCTAAAACTCTTCCCTTATCCTTTCTCCCATTGGGCAGTTCCCACCTCCTTTATGCCTCCTTCCAGAGTTTCTTTATGCATGTACAAGCAAAACTAAACCTAGACTTCCTCCTGACGTTTTACATAAAATATGGCATACTATTTGCTCTTCAAATTTTTATTTCTTGACTTTAGAGAGAGGAAGAGAGAGGGAAGGAAGGAGAGCAAGAGAGAGAGAGTGAAACATCGATGTATTGTTCCAATTATCGATGCGTTCATTGGTTGATTCTTGTATGTGCTCTGACCAGGGACCAAACCCTCAGCCTTGGCATATCAGGATGATGCTCTAACCAACTGAACTACACAGCCAGGGCTTATTTACTATTTCACTTTTTATATACCCTGATATATATATCATATATATATGGACACATTGAGTGGCTGCCATCCGCGCAACCCAACCAGGCCGGGGACAAACTGCAACCGAGGTATGCGCCCTTGGTGGGAACCGAACCTAGGTCTCTCTGGACCGCAGGCCAATGCTCTAACCGCTGAGCCAAACCAGCCAGGGCAAATTACACAATTTTAAAATATACAATTCTATTCTACATCATCTGTATATTGTATTGCATGTTTACCACCCCAAGTCAAGTCTCCTTCTATCACCATTTATCTCTTTATCTTCTTGAGTTTGCCTTCTGAGCAATTTATATATATATATATATATATATATATATATATATACACACACACACACACACACACACACACACATATACATATATATACATATACACACACACATATATATATATATTTATATATATCTATAAAATATATATAAATATATATCTATTTCTTTAATATCTCTTGGAAATCCTTCTATACAGTACATAGAAAACACCCTCTTTCCTTTCTGCCTGATATTTTCTTGTGTAGTTTTACTGTTACTTATTTAATCACTCCTCTGTTGATGAACATTGGTGTTATTTTCATTTCCTCATTATAACCTTGTACAGCCATGAATGACCTCGTACAGATGGCATTTCAGAATGAATAAGCATACCTCTATACTGCAGGACGTGTGCATCTGCAATTTTGGTAGATAATTCCAAATTGCTCTCCCACCAGCCATGTGGGAGAATACCTACTGGTCTGTCCGATGCGCTTTGCCTCTCTTGCTATCAGTGATGAAGAATTGCATAGTGAATGTAGGCAAAGGCCAGTCCCATGAAGTTCCCACCCTAAAGACAATTGCCAGAGCAGCAAACACTGGCTGTTTTGACCATCAAGGATATCAAAAAAGCATGACCAGATTCAAAATGGACAGTTACCTGGTAAATATGTTTTTTCTGGGGTCTGAATAGACCATTGTTCCAAACTCTGACACCACAATCCTGTTTGCCTCTATATTGGCTTTGTAGGTATCACTCCTTAGGTATTTGCTCCTGTAATAGACTTCACCTGAAAGAGAAGGAGCAGAATCATCCCAGGCTGACACCTTTGCAGGGCTTTGACATTGATTTCAGCCATTCCAGGGGGTTTACTGGGCAACACTAGGGTGAGCAAGACAGGCATGAGCTCTACCCCGGAGAAGATTCAAGTCTCCACGTATGAATCCTTGCTCCACCATCTACCAGCCATGCACTTGACCTTAGTCTCTTCACTGTGACATGAGGATCAGGAGACCTTTCTTTTTTTGTTAAATCCTCACCCGAGGATATTTTTACATTTATCTTTAGAGCAGGAGGGAGAGAGAGAGAGAAACATCGATGTGAGAGAGACACATCGATTGGTTGCCACCCGCACGACCCCAACTGGGGCTGGGGACAAATCGCAACTGAGGTATGTGCCCTTGGCCGAAATCGAACTTGGGACTTCCTGGTCTGCAGGCTGACACTCTAACTGCTGAGCCAAACTGGCCAGGCTCATGAGAACTTTCTTACAGAGTTGCTGTGCACTTAAGGCCTGTAAAGCACATAGCACATAGTAGGTGCTCAATAACAGCTACATATGCTACTGAGATGCAGCACAGAATGAGCAAGGCTTTGGCCACTGTCACACATTGGTAACTGATGGCTGCTGCAATTCTGGATTGTCCAACAAAATCCTGGAGGCAGGGAGGATCACCTAGGGGGTTGGTGAGGCTACACACACTGGTCTTCCACCAAATGCTACACAGAACCTGCTCTAGGGACATCCTGGTCTCCCCTTGAGCTGGCCTGTTCTTTCCTGGTCACGCTCTCTGAGGATCACCACCCACAGGCACTGGCTAAGGTGTTTTGGGCCCTGTGGTGCTTCACTTAAAATGTGGAATTCTGTTTACTTGAAATGTAAACACCCAGCCCAAGCTGCTTGCAGGCCGCCCACTTCCTGTAAACGACCAGCCCCAGAGCACGGAGCACTTGGGGCCACAAGACAGAGTGTCTCTGGAATTGCTCAAGGCTGACACTCCACTTAGAGGCTGAGATAAAAGAAGGAGCCACCCTGTTCCTGGAAGAATCTAGTTAGCCACGTTCCTTCTGAAGGAACACGAGTAAACAGACTCCTGCCTGGAATCTTCTAGAACTGGGTCTGGTGTGGGAAGAGGGGGATGGCTATATATATATGTATATACACACAAACACTTATGTGTGTTTATATGGATATGTAAATATATATATTTAAGATAACTTTCTAAAAGGCTGCTTTGGAGCTATAACAATTGAAAAAGTGTGGAAAGGCTAAATTCTCAAGGGCTCTTCTATCTGTGAATCTTAGTGACTCTGGCTCTTGGAATTCGCATGTTCCAATCCTCCTGGGACAACGACTTTGCCTCTTCTTAGAAAATCATCAACTATTTTGCTGAGGGAGGCCAGGGTTCATGCATCTCTATGCCTGCTTTATAAAGATGTCTTGTTTTGCCCTGGCCGGTTTGGCTTAGCGGTTGGAGTGTCGGCCTGTGGACCAGAGAGTCCGGGGTTCAGTTCCCGCTAGGGGCATGTACCAAAAAAAAAAAAAAAGTCTTACTTTGAAATCATGTTAGATTTATAGAAAGAGCACTCCTATATACCCTACAGCAGGCTTCCCCTGCTCCACTCTGCCTCTTGTTCACTCCCTGGATGTACGCAGTCGCCAGGGAGTGAATTGGGCTTCTTGCCTAACCTTCCACAAGCAGGACAAGGTAAGCCCTGGCTGAGACCTCCAGCCCTGCTGGATTATCTGGGAAGCAGGAGAGAGGGAGGAAGACTTTGAAGATGAAGATGGGGCCACAGGAATGCTGGCAGCTTCTGAAGCTAGATTAGGTGAGAAAATGGATGATCTCCTAGAGTCCTCCGAAAGAATGCAGCCCTGCCAACACCTTGAATTTAGCCCAGCGAAACCCACTTCGACTTCCAGAACTTTACACATTTCATTTGTATTGTTTGAAGCTACTAAATACACGGTTATGTGTTACAGCAGCAATAACAAACGGATAGAGTGCTTTTACCGTCTCTGATGGTGAAGCTGTGGAGCAAGGCCAGGCCGTCAAACCAGTGGTTGTATCTGGTCTCCCCCACCGTGTGCATGCCCGGCCCATTGCGGAGCAGCGTCCCTCGCAGCCACGTTGGGATCTTGCCTGTTAAGAGAAAGAATGTTTAGTTCCCAGTTTCCGTGTCTAAACCAAAAAGCTGGAAGAAACGGCCACGGTGCCACGCTCCACATCCCTTCGTGAACCTCGCAGTCATTTCCAGAAAGCGTACCATATGCCTGGCACTGTGCCAGCACCGAGGCTACCACGGTGAACGGGCATCATCCCTGTCCTTCAGTTGCTCTCTGTGCACTGAGAGAGACAGAAGAATAGACACTCAGAATAAACTGTGGCAAAGGCAATGCAGCAGTCACCCAAGGTGAGGGCAGTGCAGGAGGGTGAGGGCTGCCTCCTGGAGGAGCGACTTGGAGGGGTCTTGCGTCACAAAGTCAGGAGGAAAGAGCATTCGAGAGCCGTGCGGTCCAGTATGGTAGCCACCAGCCCCAGGTAGAGATTGAACACTTAGAGTGTGGCTCTCCGAACTGAGATGTGCTGTAAGTATAAAACACACACCAGCTTTCAGAGACTATGAAAAAAATGTAAAATAGCTCATTAGCAATTAAAAAAACATTTTTTTGTTGTTGTTGTTAATCCTCACCCAAGGATATTTTGCCACTGATTTTTTAGAGAGAGTAGAAGGGAGGGTGAAGGAGAGAAACATCGATGTGAGAGAGACACATCGATTGGTTGCCTCCTGCATGACCCCAACGGGGGCCGGGAACTGAATCTGCAGCCCAGGTTCACGCCCTTGACCAGAATCAAACTCACGGCCCTTTGGTCCATGGGCCAACGCTCTAACCACTGATCCAAATTGGCCAGGGCTAAAATATTGATTACATGTCAAACGTTATATTTTGGATATGTTAAATAAAATATACTACTAAAATTAATTTTACCTGTTTCTTTTTACTTGTCTGAATGTGGCTATTAGTAAATTTAAGATTACACATGTGCACTCTGGCCAGTTTGGTTCAGCAGTTAGAGCCAAAGGGTTGTGGGTTCAATTCTGGGTCAAGGGCATGTACCTGGGTTGCAGATTCGATCCCCAGCCCCAGTCGAGGTCGTGTGGGAGGCATCCAATCGATGTGTCTCCCTCACATTGATGTTTCTCTCTCTCTCCCCCTCTCCCTCCCTTCCACTCTACCTAAAACTCAATGGAAAAATATCCTCGGGTGAGGATTAACAACAACAAAAATGGCGCACGTGGCACGCGCCGTGTTTCTGTTGGACAGCACGGCTGTAGACAGAATGCTGTAGCAGACACTGTGGGTTCCCCACTCCTCCCCTTTGGCATCCATTCACCTCTCCATGAAGGCTGCTTCCTGCAAATACTGCCGCTCTCTGCCTGGGGGCTTTGTCCTCACCCTGGGAGCTGCTTTGCCCACATGCTGGACAAGCTGGAAGCACCTTGGAAGTACTCTCACACATCAGTGGGGGGGAACTGGGGGTCAAATGCTGCCATGTCTTTGCCTTGAGCTGGGACAACGTGAGGATTCAGCTGCGATGGCACCCAGGGCTCAGTGTCTTGAAAATGGCCCTCTTTTTTTTTGCTTCTCTCCCAGTGTTCCTTGGGATTGAGTCCCAAATAAACTATTTACACCCAAATGCTTATCTCTAGAGGAACCCAAATCAAGAGATTAAAGAGAGTCCAAAGACCAGATGTACCAGCTGTTTAGTGAGATTGGACTATAATTTTTTTAAAATATTTTTTCTTTATTGATTTTAGAGAAAGATGAAGGGAGAGGGAGAGCGAGCTAAAAACATCGATGAGAGAGAACATCGACTGGCCACCTCCTGCACACTCCCCACTGGGGATCGGGCCCACAACCTGGGCATGTGCCCTGACTGGGAATCGAACCGGCGACCTCTTGGTACATGGGTCGATGCTCAACCACTGAGCCACATTGGCCAGGCTGGACTATAATTTTTGAGTGAGGACATCATAAGTATCGGGGCTGGAGAGGTAAACAGGGGCCAAGTAAAAAAGGTCAACAAGACCACACTCCAAGGACTTTGATTTTATATTCAGAAGAAGGGGACACTTTTGACGGTTATAACAGAGAACAATAAGGTCAGACTTTTTAAAAAATCCTCACCTGAGTATAGACTTACTGATCTTAGAGACAGGGAAAAGAGAAAGAGAGAGAGAGAAACAATGAAGTGAGGGAGAACATTGACTGGTGGCCTTCTACACGTGCCCCAACCTGGGATCGCACCTGCAAACCTGGGTATTTGCCCTGACTAGGAATTGAACCCGAAAGCCTTTTGCTCTATGGGACACTGCTCCAACCAACTGAGCCATAGTGGTCAGGGCTGGATCAGATTTTTTAAAAAATTTTTTAATTGAGACAATTCACAAAACCTAAAATCCACCGTTTCAAAGTATACAATTCAAGGTTTTTTAGTATATTTCCAATGTTGGGCAACCTTCACCACGATCTAGAACATTTCCATCACCCCCCAAAGAAGCTCTGTACCCACCCATTAGCAGACACTCCCCATTCCCCAGCCCCAGCCCCTGGCAACCACTAATCTACTTGCTGTCTCTAGGGATCTGCCTCTTTTGGACATCTCGTATCAATGAAATAGCTCAGATTTGGGGTTTCCAAAGTTGTCTCTGGCTGTGGTGTGGAATGTGGACAGGAGGAAGAGCCCAGGGGAGGTAGGAAGACCAGAGAGAAGACCAAGTTCGCAGCAGGGGGGACGGAGAGAAACGATAGAGCAAAGGGACTTGGAGGACGCAGAACTGATAGGACTAAATACAGGAGGAAGGGGAGGGGAGCATTTAAAAAACAAGCCAGCCAAGTCTCTTGCCTTGGGCACTTAACTGAGTGGGAGGACTATTCACAGAGACCCCGGACACAGGAGAAGGGGCAGGTGAGGCAGAGCAGGGAGCATGTAGTTAATGCCATAGATACACGGTAAGAACATTTATTGAGCACTCTGCCATTTCCAAGGCAAATTCTCAGCTGAAAAGCTCCAATCTGACTTTCCTCTCAAAGAACGCTCATTGTTGTCCTCTCCTGGTGAGAAACATCCAGTCCACCTCTCCCAACATGAACCTGCTCGTGAGCCCGAGCCGCCCCACATGCTGTTCTCACAACACCGAGCAAGCGACCAGCTGGGGACACGAATTCAGACCCAGTCACTGTCCTGCAGAGTCTAAACAAGATGGTACCAGAAAGTCGAGTTGCAATGCAGAAGAGGAGAGAGCCACAGAAATACACGAGACACAAAACCCACTGAAGGAATGTTGCTGTAGAGGCTCCCACTCTGGGTCTTTTACTGGCTCCGCAGCTACTTGAAATCACCCCCGTGATACCTGAGAGGAAGTCACATCAGATTCTCCATACTTTCCAGTGAGCATGTGCAAGAGGGGAGCTCACCTCCATTTCTGGTACCATTTTGAAATTAACTCGGGATGCACACATGCACCAATGCAGGCCCCAGTTGGAATGGGCCCCCTTGTGCCGCATAAGCCCCTTGTATCTGTGCGGAATGCAGCCTTCCCGCGACTTTTTTCCTGGAAACAGTGAGAACGATGCTTTCTCCTTGGAAACCGAGTTACAGTACATAAAAGCACATCTCCGTTTTCACAGACAAAGTGTGTGGGTTATGAGTCATTTTCTCCTAGATAGTGTGTTCCAGATTTTCCAAAAATAATTTACAATAAGCAGGAAAAAGCATACATGTCAACATAAAAGAGGAGTCCACCATCGATACAGAATGCTCACCTGTCACTTTGGCTTTCACAGGCTCCGGATGTTCTTTCTTATTTCTGCCAAATATGACATCCATTGCGCGGGCTCGGAGGAGTGTGATGCTGACAGTGAACAGACACTCATCTGCGCTCAAGGCCACTGATCCTCGGCTCCTCCTTTCCTTCCTTCACGCGCTCCTGCGACCACTCCTATCTCCCTTTGCTGTTCCCCTCTGAGCGCACCAGACGCCGCGCCTGGGTCACTTATGTGTGGTCCAAAGTTGATTCCCCTAGCCACGTGTTCTAGTCAATCTTTAATCCTCTCCCTCTCTCCCTTTCCAGTTTCACTTTTGGTTAAATCAAGGAAAGCTAGTTTCTTGCTGGGTTTAGATTGGAGAGAGGATTTAGCAGTGCGCTCTGCTTTGGTATGCTGTCTGAAATACTCCAGCCAGGAGGTGGAAGTGGGTCGTAAGCAGAAGAGAGACTGTCGGGACCATCGAGGCCACCTGGAGTCAATGATGAGTCCTCATAGTATCTTGAAGGAAAGAAAAAAAAGAGCCTGGCTGGTATGGCTCAGGGGACTGAGCATTGTCCCTTGGACTGAGAGGTGTCAGTTCAATTCCTGGTCAGGGCACATGCCTGGGTTGCAGGCACGATCCCCAGTGAGGGGCGTGCAGGAGGCAGCCGATCAATGCTTCTCTCTCATATTGACGTTTCTATCTCTCTAAAATATTAATAAAAACATTTTTTTTAAAAGACACCTGGAATTAGGAGCGCCAAGAGCATGCTGATCATGTGAATTCCTGCTGCACATCATGGGAAGTTCTGCAGAGTTGGGAAAGGGTTTTGTGTTTTGTTTTAAATAAAGGTCCCTGCATCTCCTACCCCCCAAAAAATCATATATAAAAAAAAATTTAATTCATATTTCTCTTCTGGAGACATAAATATAAAATAGTCCATGTACCCATTTAAACAATGAATGGAGGAAATAAAAAACAAACTTCAGCTCAACTTCCTGGCCTACTGAGAGAAAGAAACGATGCCTGAATTTGATTTTTGGGTCTGCCTATATTTGCGCTTCTTGGTGCGATGCCATTGCCTAAAATCCATATTCAGTTGCCCTGCATGTCGGGTGATGAATTCATGAACTCATCCTGCTCAAAGAAAGAACCAGCCGGTCCCTCTCTGGGCAGAGTAAGGGAAGGGGGCGGTGCTGCTGAGTGTAGTTACTGTCGGGTCTGGGCCGAGACTGTGCCCGGGGCTCAGAGCTCAGTCCTGACAGCAGCTGGTTGTGCTTCCCTCCTGGGGGCACATTCCATCCACCTGGTTGGGCCCCGCTCCAGACCCACTGACCCAGAATCCCTGAAAATGGAGCCCCGCCGTTTCCCGTCCTTCAAATGTCTCTAGACAATTCTCTGTGCAGCAGACATCGAGAAGCTTGGGCCCACCGGAAGATGGATACACGTTTGTGTTGATGCAAGATTCATATTCTTCCCCTTTTTGTGTGTCTTCTCTTTTCTGAGCCTCTATTTCCTTAGCTGCAAAATGGGGGCATAATGATATCAAAATCTCAAGGTTGTTGGAGATCAAGGGTCTAGCAAAAGCACCCGGCCCCAAAGTGATCCATCAGCGTTATTGCCCTGTTCCTCCGCATTCTCTCCGAAGGCACTTCCCATCGACCTACATTTTCCATGAAGTCCCATGACTTGCCAGTTTATTCTGCTATCTGGTCTAAACATGTGTACCCATGTCAGGGTTATTTATCCCTTGGCTGTGGAAGCTGCGTTCTTGTGAGGATTAAATGAGCATGTCTGGCATCCTCTGAGGGCTCAGGAGAAAAATCATACCACCTGGGGCAGCAGCTCTGGTGCAGAAAAAAAAAAGAGCTCAGGGCTTAGAGATCAGAAGACCTGGGTTGGGATCTCAGCCCTGGGATTTAAAAACTTGGTGACATTTGTCACGTGATCCCCCTGAACCTCACTTTGCAAAACAGGATGGCAATACCTATGTCTCAGGGTTTGTTGGTGGGATTATATTGTAATTACAAGGGAAAACATGGCTGTGTTCTCCTTTCTTGTTCATTTTGTGCCTCAAGAAAAGCAGCAGCTTCCAACCATTGAGCTCATTCTCTGAGTCAAGTAAGTGCTTTGCAAAGCACTCTGCATGTACCGGCTCGCTCTGGCCCTTATGTAATCCTGTGGGATGGGTATTCTTAGCATCATTCTGGAGACGAGAAAACTCAGGGAGGATAACTAACTTGCCTTAGGATACACAACTACTAAGAGATCGAATTAGGAAACCAAGCCAGGCAGCCTTACTTCAAAGTACATACTCTGTGACAATTCCACACAGTGCCAGTGCATGAGAGATGCTTGCTAGATTTTTAAGAAATATGTTTTTATTGATTTTAGAGAGAGAGGAAGGGGGGGGAATATTGACCAGATGCCTCCCGAATGCATGCACCCCAACAGGGCATGGAGCCCAAAACCTGAGCATGTGCCCTGACCAGGAATCGAACCTGCATCCTTTTGGTGTACGGGACAACACTCCAACCAATTGAGCCGCACTGGCCAGGGCTGCTTGTTAGATTTTTTTTTTTTTTAATCCTCACCCAAGGATACCTTTCCATTTATCTTCAGATAGAGTAGAAGAGAGAGAAAGAGAGAAACATTGATGTGAGAGAGACACATCGACTGGTTGCCTTCCTCATGACCCCAACCAGGGCCAGGGACCAAACTGCAACCGAGGTACATGCCCTTGACCGGAATCAAACCCAAAACTCTGGTCCGTGGGCCGATGCTCCAACCACCGAGCCACACCAGCCAGGGCTGTTTGCTACACCTTTACTGAATGAAGTATCAGGTGGTTGTGCAGATGGGTGGAGGACCAGGAGAGAGCCAGTCTTGGGTCGATGTCGTTGCCTTGTTACATAATACTGAGGAACCAAGGCAACTCTCTTCATTTAGGTCTCATCTGTACCTTGGGGACAAGTATATAGTGAGATAAGGACTTTTGTTTATACTGGTGATAACATATTGATCATAATGATAGATATCTTAATTTTGTAAGGCGACCACAGCAAAGTACCACAACTGAGTGGCTTAAGCAAAAAATGTATTTACTCACTTTTCTAGGGGCTGGGAAGTCCAAGATCAAGGTGTTGGCAGGGCTGGTTTAGTCGGAGGCCTTTCTCCTTGGCAGGCAGATAGCCGTCTCCTCACCGTGTCCTCACATGGTCCTCTCCCTGGTGTATCTTTGTGTGTCCAAATTTCCTCTTCTTATAAGGACACCAGTCGGATTTGATTAGGGCCCACCCTGATGAACTCATTTGAACTTAATCACCCTTTTATTTTTTAATTTAATTAATTTATTCATGTTACAGATGTTTCTCCTGTTTCCTCCATTGACACGTTCCTCATGTTCCCGCACCTCCCCCCTCCCCCAGCATTGTCGGTGTCCATTGGTTATGTTTATATGCATGAGTTCTTTGGTTTATCTCTTCCCTCCCCCTGGCTCCTGTCCCCTGAAGTTTGTCAGTCTGAACTCTACTTCTATGTTTTTGGGTCTATTTTGTTCATCTCCTTATTTTGTTCACTTAATCACCCTTTTAAAAGTGCTATCGGGCCCTGGCCAGTTTGCTCAGCGGTTAGAGCGTCGGCCTGCGGTCCGGAGAGACCCAGGTTCGGTTCCCGCTAAGGGCACGTACTTCGGTTGCAGTTTGTCCCTGGCCCTGGTTGGTCGTGCGGGTGGCAGCCACTCGATGTGTCCCTTCACGTCGATGTTTCTCTCTCTCTCTCCTTCCTCTCTCTCCCTCCCACTCTATCTGTACAAAAAATGGAAAAATATCCTCGGGTGAGGATAAAAAAAAAAAAAAAAAAAAAAAGTGCTATCGGCCCTGGCCGGGTAGCTCAGTTGGTTAGAGCATCATCCCGATACACCAAGGTTGCAGGTTCAATCCAGAGTCAGGGCACATACAACAATCAACTGAATGCGCTCTTTCTCTCTCTAAAATAAAAAAATCAATCAATAAAAGAAAAGTGCTATCAGTCACATTCTGAGGTACTAGGGCTTAGGGCTTTAACATATGAATCTTGTGGGGACACAGTTCAGCCCATAACAATATCATGAAGGCTCAACAAGGTAATGGAAGATAGTTTGGCCGAAAGTAACAGGGTATCTGCAGAAACCCTGACCGTATGCATTCACCTCAGACATCGAGTCATCTGGGGTCCTGGGCAGTCCGAAGCTCACCTGAGTCGTCTTGCCAGGTTCCATTCCATCTACCACATTGCCATCTGAGAAGGTTGGCTTTTCATCCTTGGGCTTGTTCCGTTTTGCTTATGAATGGCCCCCTTCACTCCAGGAATCCTCCTGACATAGTAACATGCAAAAGCAGGGACCTAGGTGGGACAAAGGAGGCATTTTCTTTTCACATCTCTCTCCTTTTAAGCTGGAGGAAAATCCTTCCCAGAATCCCTTAATTTTCTAGTCTCATTGGCTGAACTGTGTCACATGACCACCCCAGACCAATTCCCGGCAAGGAGGAACAGGAGTGCCCTGATTCCTTGAATCGTGGGTCTCTTCCGGGGCAGCACATGGTCACCTGAATCATATCAGGATTCCATTACCAAGAAAAGAGGAGGGGGTGGCTTGGGCTCGGCACCCTGCAGGCAGTACAGCACCATGCATTCTTACGTTCATTCCTTCATTCCACATGTATTTACTGAGCATCTACTGCATGCTGGAGATGCAGCCGTGAACAAAACCATACTTCTGTGCCTCCTTGGAATTCACACCGACCACATGCCAAGGTCCAGGGATGCAGAGGTGATTAATGAGACTCAGTCTCTGCCTTCCTGGGCTCCTGTTGTGTTCTTTTTGTTTGGGGGCTGAGTCTGCATATCCCAAAGGACATGATGTCCCAGAGGGCTTAGGGGACGGCCTCCATTCTTCCTCTTTGTAAACAGAGATAACAAGCGGCAGCTGCTCTTGCCCCAGAAGCTCTGGCATTGCTCCGAGTCTGCGGACGCCTGACACTGTCTTTAGGTCTTTACTAGCATGGGAAGCATGGGACGAGGGACTTGTCACCAGCAGGAGC